TATATATAAAACGCTCCCACTCTATATAGTGAGAGAGTAGTGACACACCAGAGAGGACATGATCGCTCTAAGGAGTTTTTAAGCGAACCCGGAAGTATACAGAACTGAAACCTCTTGGTGCACCGGGGCATTTCCTCTTCGGTGTAGCACAGCGGAGTTGAGAAGAGGTTTGTTTAGCAAGCTTTATTTGCTAAACATTTATGAGTTGATTTCGAGTTTGTCCAGATGCCAAATAAAACCGTGAAACGCCCAGGAGTTGGGGTCGGGGTGCTGGTAACGGACCCATTCCATCCCGGATGTGTTCTCCTGGGAAAACGTAGGAGTGTAATGGGAAAAGGGACGTACCAGCTTCCCGGTGGTCACTTGGAGTTTGGGTAGGTAAATGGTAAACTAAACCATAAATATGACCCTGTTTACTAGTATATATATGTGACGTATGGCCTATTGTGAATGTTGCTTTATTCATATTAGTAAGCAAATTTCTTCTTGTAACAAAACACACGATTCTTTTCAAGATGTTTTCTTGTTATTATAATGTAAATTACAGTGAAATAAGTACTTTTGGATCAGTTGTTATTATGCCGAATTCTCCCGAAATGCTTAATAAATATTGATACATATTCTCAATTTGCATCGTTACAACTGCCTGTCATCTACGTGCGCGCACATACTAATTCGTAATATTTTTAAATGCAATTTGGTTTATGGTAGTGAAGCCTGGTAATACATTCGAGATTCTTTAAGATCCACTAAAGACAGGTACTTGGAAGGAAAGGTCATTTGAGAAGTGGAGGGAAAGTAATGTAACTACGTTCCTCAGTTTACAGTAGGCTACATCTATCTTTCCATGTCATGTGAAATGGTGAGAGAAAGACCTGATGTGACACTTTCACTCTGTTCCTGAAAGAGAGACGTGGGAGGAGTGTGCTCATAGAGAGGTGCTGGAGGAAGCAGGGGTGCGTTTGGTGAACGTCTGCTTTGCGTCAGTAGTGAACTCCATCAGACAGGAGGAGCAGTACCACTACGTCACCATTATCATGCAAGGGGAATTGGACAGAAAGCAGTCAGGAGAGCCAGAGAACCTGGAGCCAGAAAAGAATGAAGGTACAGTATGTTAAGTGGAGCTACTCTTAAGTTTTAAATGGGGGAAATAATCATTTCTCTCCCTCTAAGCATCTGTGGTTCTGTCCCTCCCAGGCTGGACATGGACACACTGGGACCAGTTTCCTCCTGAGGAGCAGCTGTTCTTGCCTTTGGCTGGTCTGAGACAACAAGGCTTCCATCCATTCAGAAACACAGAGACAAACACTGAAACTCAGCCCTGAAGTTGCCTGTTACACAGAGAGAAGCTTCTTTCTTTCCTCACAGGAAGTTATATGATACCTCTTCCCTTTCTTGCTTTTCAGGAGTCATGTTTTTCTGTTACACCACATGCTGTAATTGAATGTCTTTTCTATTTTTGGAATGAATGACTAAAAGACTAGTATACTGTGATTTTATTTAGATTTTAAGCATAAGAGTGTAAATAAAATGGACGACGCAAACACAGTTTAAAAGACACATGAACACAAAAAATATAATTTATTTGAATTTTTTATTCTGTATGGCAACATTATTCATGCTCTTTAGTCCCAGGTAATATTTAGTGATGAAAATAAATAGTCTAATGCACTGGACATTAGACTACCACTGTAATATGACAGATATGGAAGAACATTTCAGCTCTTTCAGACACTTTACTACAGTTTTATAATATAATAAGAAAAAACAAGCATGCATTGTTACTTATTGAACAGAAGTTTCCTTCTCCACCTCACAACAGGGTGGTGCTGGTGGTGACACCCACTGCTAACAGAAGGGTCCACAGGGTTGTGAAAGTGGCGTCCACAGCACCATTGAAAGTGTTATCGTGGGCAGAGGTGATGACGTGGAGGGCTCCTCTATAGGCCTCCTCACAGGTCGGCTGGATCTGATCCTCAGGAAGCTCAAAGCCGAAGTCCCGTTATCTGTCAGCTCAAAGGTATAGACGAAAGGGATCCCTTGCAGCCCGGCCCAGTCACTAGATGTACCAGAGTTGGCATCTGTAAAAGGAGCTTACATATTTATATTTTGTCTTATGTAAACTACTCAATAATCTAATCATTTAAACCTAATAGTCACACTTTCCCTCATACTCAAATTAAAACCAGTAAACCATTGTCTGTGATCAGCAGGCATGTGTGTACTTACACAGTATATCTGGCGAGGTTCCTACAGTGTAGTTCATCCCATGGACCTTCTTAATTTCATTTGCTGCAGCCAGACCCACCTTCATCTGAGGAAGCACACATTAGCTTCTCTCAGACACTCACTGAGAAGTGCAAATATCCAGAGCAGCCAAAGACTCATCCTGTCTGAAACAAAAGGCCAACAGTACTTTGGAGTTTTGCTGATTTTTCAGCTATCGTCATGATAACACGGTTGGAACCTCTGCGGCTCGACATGAATGAAGCTACATCTTGTTCAGAAAATGACAGTTTTGATATTAAACGTTGCAGACTTGGTTAAAGGAATTTCAAAACTGAACTTCAAAAACTGTTAAATGAACAGTGAACTGTTTAATGTATATTTTGATTTGAAACTTGAAATCAATCAGAAGGAGCATTTAGACCCTGCTAAGTTACTACAGTGTAAACATTGATGGTTAGACTCTCAGTTGCCAGATACCCTTCTAATTGCACATTAATTTGGAGGTGCACATACACAATTTATTGGCTGATATTAGCCACTGGCTGCTATTATCTTGCTAATACAGTATATTTCTTTTGGTGTCTAGAGCCCAATAATTCACTGCAGTAGAAACTGCAGTACAGAACTGCGAAAGAGGTCATTTAGTTTGTCCACCAGAGAACAATTTTATTTTTCAACGGTTAAATGTGCTATTCAGTATGGAAGAGATTTGCATCTACATTGTTTATGTTTTAAAAGTGATACATCTTTATTGCATCAAATTGATATCAGCATCCACCTTAAAAATCCAGTATTGGTCAGTCTGTCTACTCAAATTGAGTGAGAACTTTGCCAGTCTAAATAAGAAGTCCTGACAGGATCTTCTTGTATCTATTTTAGTCTCGGTGTTCATCATTCATGTCAGTTTTATTTATTTGAGATCCATAATTGAAAACTTTGTCATAAACAAGACTCTGCATCCTGCCAAGCTGAAGAACCACGGTGTAGTTTGAATGCATAATTCTCTCTGGTTGATGTTTCCAGTGGGCTGTTGCCTGCATCAGCCTCCCTCCTAACAACAGCCAGCCCTTCATTTTCCACTATCAGTGTTTCACAGCCTCCCCCGTTCTGTTCTGCCCTGGCAGCCGAGGACCGACTGCTCACGGATGCTGACTATGTAAATGATATAATCTGTTATGTGTATGATTTGTATACACTGTGTTAAGTCCTACTGCACTTTGCCATGCACCACTCTACTGTGCTGTAAATCCAGCAAACAATATTAAATCCAAAACCGTGAAACAAATTATTATTAAGGTGTTTACTGGAATGTTATTCACAGACTGTTTCATTTACTGTTGGTTTTTATCAACGACATACGCTCAGTTTCTATGGCAGTATGTGGCACATCCTTTTTACTGATCTAGAAGCATGCAGTGACAAACCTAATCAGGCTCTACAGATGCATGAGCACCGTTTATCCTGAGATGTGATATTACTGTGTTTGGTGATGTAAATACCAGCTCATCGTAGTTGGGGGCGGTGAAATTGGGGTTTCCATAGGGAATCAGGAGGAGCTGGCTGTAGGAGTGGATGGTGAAGAAACACAGGAAGTGGTCTTTGCGGGTTCCTACAAAGTAGGTTACAGCCTGGGCCTCAGGCTCAGACAAAGCGCTGCTCCCACAGAAGGTCCTTGAGCAGCAGTTAAATGATGCTCCAATTGCTGTGAAAGCAGCCAAAGATAAAAAAAAAAAACAGAATGTAATATAGTAATAACATGACTTCTTCTATAACATGGGCACGCAAGTTCACCTTTTTACATGTTAAGGGAGCATTCAGTTGCTATGTAGTACCAGACAGGAAGGGGTTAATGAAAGATGGTACCAGGTTGCATTGTGGGAATTGTATGATCCAACATGTTTGCACTAAATGTCAAGATCTCTGCTTCAATTTTGAGTGCTCTACTAAATCACTGGACTCCTCCTTTAAATGAAATAATGTAGGAGCTTTGGGAAGATCTCGTAAAAAGAGTCAGGTACATACTAATCTGTTGCTATCAAAAGAAAGGACTATATAAACAGTATAGTGTTTTAATACTATATATGACTGTAATGAACTGTCACAAGACTTACTGCTCCAGTAGGCGTCAAAGTTGTGGTTGAGATCGGTGCCATAACAGTCACAGTCTGAAGGTCCTGGTGATCTGTTCTTCCTCCTCAGTCGAGTCTGAACGGGTCAGAACGGTCAGTCGGTTAAATCAGCTGGTTCTAATCATTCTACCATTTAGTAAATAAATAAAACGGGCCCTTGACATTTCTCCACAGGTTTAAATGCTGCCTTGGATTAGTGTTTGATGTTAGTTTCCCCATTCAGCTTGTTTTGAAAATGAAATGATTTAGAGTTTGGGGCATACTGGGCATCAGAAATACATTTATTCACTGATTGAATTGTAGCTCAGTTTGTTTAAATAGACTATGATTTTCTCATATCCTGTTCATCTGTGGCTCGAGAGCTTGGAGCTAAAGCACTGAATCTTAAAAAGTAATTAGATAATATGCTGACTGACTGTGTTGTCCTTCCAGGAGTAGATGTAGCCATCCACGTTGAGCACAGGAGTAACATAGAAGTCCATGTTCTTCATCTCTTCAATTTTTGGGTCTGTTTTGTATGTTTGCAGGATCTGATTTGATGGAACAAGCAAAAACATGTGGGTCAGGTTGATATGTATGATCCAACATGTTTGCACTAAATGTCAAGATCTCTGCTTCAACGTTGGAGGACATACAGTATATATGAACTGGTGGTTAAATAAAAATCACTTTTATTTGGCCAAGTATGTTACACACACAAGGAGTTTGTTTGTGGCACAGAACCAAGGCAGCCATTTTTTAGCACCAACTCACACCGATGGCTCTAACCATCGGGGGTAACTTGGGGGTTCAGTGTCTTGCCCAAGGACACGTCGACATGTGGACTGCAGGCACCGAGATTCAAACCTCCAACCCTCTGGTTGGGAGATGACTGCTCTACCCACTGAACTGTCCCCATCATTTTTAATGACCTGTCTCTTACCTGCCTGACAAAGTACTGACAGAAGGCTGGAGAAATCCATTCCCGTGCATGTATACCACAGTCCATCCACACAGCTTTCTTTTTCCAGTCAGTATTCAGGCCAATCTGGAGGACAAATTCAAACATACACCAAACCAAAACTATCAGCACGCTCTGGTATCTTAGTTCCTAATTTATGATCTGAAATAAACAATGAAAAAATTGGATTACCTTGAGTAAGCTAATCGTCCTCTTCTCATAAGTCTGTCCATAGTTTACAATGGTCACAACATCAGAGTGATTCTCAGCAATCTGAACCATCCAGTTGGTGATCTGCAGAGCATCGTTCCACATCAGTGTTTGTGTTTGTGTGTGTGTGTGTGTGTGTGTGTAGTGATCTGTTCAGTTAACATGTGTGAACCGTGATTAGGCTTACTCACCTCTGACATTGGATGGTATTTGTAGTAGTCGTACTCCACTCTGTTGCACACAAATACATACACAGTAAATACACGAGAAGCGGTGAGCCTACCCAGGGATGTAGGACAAAAGTATGACACTGTACATATGCAGCCATATCGGGCCCCCTTCCCCCTTTTAATACACCCCGTGTCCTACCTGTAAGAATAACTGAATCAATGAGTGAAAGTGAGTGTGATCTAAATGTTCCCCTCTAACTCTTGGCTAAATTGTAAATAAGTGCATTTAAAATATTGACCAGTATACAGATAGATCTGTCAAATATTTTCTCAATTAATTGATTACTATTACTCTCCAAAGCAAGAACTGGAGAATGTTTGGCAATTTTGACATAAATAATTAACTGATTATTTAAATAGCTGCCAGTTAATCTTTTGTCAATCATGCAATCAATTAATCAGCCACTCAATACTAACTCTCTAGATTTGTTCTTGTTAGTTTGAAGTGCAGTAAAACTCATCTGTCTACTGTCACTGCTCCCGTTGCTGAGAGCAGCACCACAAAGCTCAGTCCCACAGAGTCCAGCATTGTCACGTTGTGAAAACAAGCTCCTTGGTTTTGGCTTCACCTGCTTTAAAGAAGACATCCATCAGATAATGATACACCTTTTCCTCAGTCACAGACCACTGTTTGTTGTATTAGTTCTGAGCTGGGACTCCTGATTTGTTTTTACGCTGATCACAGTCAACGAAGTGCATGATATTTATTTCCTTTCTGTGATGACATACAGTACTGCCCTGTACCGGGGCACAAACACAATAGACATTATATTGTGTAATTCATAGCTTACTTTGTTATTGAAATAAGCACAGGTTGGACTTGTATCAGCGTTCGCTGTCTTTCCTGATGATGATGATGATGGGGGTTGATACTGTCACCATCACCTGTAACACCAGGACAGACTGACTGATCCACTGTAGCAAGACATAATGTTTTATATTCAGATGATGAATGAACGGATTTCTATTCAGAGACTGTTTCTCACAGAGGCAATGGAAATGGGCTTGTGGCTCCCAGGTTGCACTTGTGGATGCTGTAACCTGTGACTGGAGAACAGAGGCAGAGTTAATACTGTAACTAGCCTACATGAAATGCTGACTGTGGGCTTCACTAAACACCACTATAATTTATATTTGGCTCAGACCTTTAAGGCGTCACTGAAACCTACAGACACTATAGCAGTTATAGTAAGGACATTTTGCTAATAACACTTAACGTATGCACTTTTATCTAAATCGAAGTTTAATTGCTATAAAGTACTTTTTACATTGTGGTATTGGTATGTTTACTGTATGAGGATCTCAGTACTTCTGGGCAGTGGTTTGGTAAAGTGATAAAGTGATCAGTCCATTCTCGCCTTAATTCTTCTGGCATTTTGCCGTTTTCCACCAACACCCGTTTTCCCCGCTAAACCTGCCTGGTGGCTCTGGCTCCGCCCAGATCACCTGCTCTCACCTGAGAGACAGCAACTTTTAACTTTTCACTCCATCCTCTCTAGGTCAGCATTATTACTTAGGTTTAGATTCACCATACCTAGTGGTGGATCGAACTGCTGTGATGTCAGTACTGATCACGGTCGAGAGGTAAGGAAGTTCATGATATCACATTTATTTTCTTTCTGTGATGTCATACAGTACTGCCCTGTACAGTGATACTTGCACATTAGACAGAATATTATGTAATTCTGTCTAACTGTTCTTTTCTTGGTTCATTGTTTCAGCAGTTATTTTGTCCAATTTCAGTCGAACTTGAAGGTTTCTCTAATTCTACAAAATGAAAACGAGCTTACACCCTTGTCTGACCATAAAACCGTCATGTTCAGCTACACAAGATAACATGGATATGAAATAATAATAATAAGTTGGAGAAGATTAGAGCAGGTAATTTAAGTGGTAGTCTAAATGAGATTCTTGTCTAGGAATGAGCAGCAATAACATGTCTTGTGCAAGCCTATCAAGTTTGTATAATACTTCGATGTACTATATCAGCACAGATTCTTTGACATTTAAAATGCATTAGAATTCAGTCTTCACAATATGTCAGAGGTTTATACAAGCTTACAGCTATCAGTGCAACAGAAATGAATCTGCAACAACAGCTGTGCTCACGTGGACTGCATGACATTATATACCCAAACTAATTTAGCTTTTTATTTTTGAACAATATTGTATCTCTGAGTGTACTGAGTGGCCTCATTCTTTAGCAAAACTTTTAACACAAAAAATATTGTACACCTATTTTTGGACCTCAAAGTCACGCATAGCACACAAAATTAAAACATCTGTATCAAAATAGGTAATGTATCTGAGAATGATGACACATGTTTATGCCTGAATTGTATTAATTGTTACATTTTAAATTCCATACTTATTTATATTAAAATAGTATGACAATTTACTTTAAATGTGAAACCAAAGTTGCTGCCAGTGACTCTAGCAAGGTCTGATTTCAGTGTAGACAGAACTGGTTATTTGTAGAGTTCTTACATGGAACATTTGACCAGCAGAGGTCAGAGCAGTGCTTATTTTTACATAAGAACTGTAGCATATGATAATCAAAGACAAATATGGGCAGAAGCTGAGTGCATTTATACATCTGTACACCTACAGTGAGAGTTTTGTTCCAAAATAGTTGTTAAATCATCATCTCAGGTTCAAAAGTGAACAGTCTCTTGATAAAAATAGGATGCAGTAGGTGCATGTGGGTGTTTTTATATTGTCAGCTAAAATGTATGCATCCTTGGCGAGTGCTTGCTGCCATCCACACTGTGCTTTTTAATCCAAGCTTTAGCCCACTGAGATTAATTATTTTATAAATACATTCTTTGATATTGTCTACTCCCTCTGTCTCAGCCTGGCTGCTGCGTTGTTACACCCTGTTTGTAAAATACTTGCATATTAACTACACCACAGCAACTCGAGACTTTGCTCCCATTCCGTTGCTGACATGTGCATCATGTTTATTTATGAGGTGCTCATAAGATATAGAGACAAGACTTTTCTCATCTTCAGTGCTGTGTGCACTAATCTAGGATGTGTGTGTTCCACGCGAGGAATCAAAGCACACATCACAGGTTACTGTTTCTTCATAATGATGGATGCAAGCACTAATGCTTTTGGATGAGAGAGGCAGGCCGCCCCATTGCACTCAGACACAAGCTTACAACATTTCAAAAACTCTCTTTATGTGTGCACACATAATTTTACATTAGCCCCACTGGTTGTATCTTAAAGAGTGGTTTGGTGAACATGCACAGCTGAGATAAGAAATTATTCTGAAGGATTAGACTCAGATATTTTTGTACTCAAACATTTGGTGTTCTTTCAAGTCTGGGATTCATTTGGAGACAGAAAGTCTGCCAAACATTGCATCACCTGACAGTTTTTGGCTAACATTTTATGATCACTTATAACTATTAGTTGAGGCACCGAACACTTTGTTTTATGACATGTGGTTAACTACCTTGGCGTGTGCATGGGGTGAGGAAAAGTTGTGTCAACGTCTGGACAGATTGCAAACTCTGAAGAGATTGTCAGGATTTTAGTGGATATTCCTGAGGGGTCTTAGGGTTCTTTTTGTATCAGTGACTTTTAAGATGTGACATATCTGCTGGTGCTATATTTATGCATGTGAGTATGTGTTTGTCATTAAATCATCAACCTCATTGGCTCATTACTCTGGAAATGTGTCCCATGTTACTATTTTTAAATGTCTGTCTCTGAGAAAACAGTGGCTCTTTAAAAAACACCCTGACCTTTGGACAAGCTAATTTCCCCTGGCTTACAGTCTGTATGCTAAGCTAAACTAGTCAACCTGTTTTCAGGATCTAGCTTTATACTTAAAGGAAAAGTTTGACATTTTGCACAATACACTTTTTTGCCAAGAGCCAGATGAGAAGGTCGACATCATTTTCGAATCTATCTAAAGCTAGAGCCACGAGCTGGTTAGCGTCACCTCGTATGGAGATTGGAAGCAGGGACAAAAGGCTAGCTAAAATTCAAAAACATATATTTTAAAAGCTATAAAACAACACATTTCAATTTGTGAGCTTTAGAGGTACTTGTAGGTCAATATTTTTGGACCTTTATGATACCATTATAATACAACATATTTGTCTACAAAATATCTGACTGCACCCCAAAACTCACAAATGAACAGTAAGCCTATATATTGTTTGTTTAAACTAAAATTAGTGAGCTTTAGAGCTGTTGTTATATGTTGAACTTTGAACTGGTTGCACCTGCTTCCAGTCTTTATGCTAGACTGTGCTAACTGTATCTTGGCTCATTGTAGCTTCATATTTACTAGGCAAATATTAGAATGATAACAAAAAGTATAATAAATACTTAAGGCACTCTTAGGTGGAGCAAGGTGTATATTTAAAAGCCTCTATTTAATCAGGCATGTCAGTAAAAATGCCGACTGCTTTGTTAGAGTGGTATCGTAAAGTTTTAAGGGTGAATGCTTATGAAGTTTGACTAGTTGGTTTTATTTCATTGGACTCCTGTTGGTAGATGGATTCGTAATATTGGAGGGATTATGTTCTCCCTAAAGCAAATCAGTAGCTTTTGTGTTTCATGTGAACTGTCTTTGCTGGAGTGGATTTTTCACACCAGGAATTGCAGTTGTACTAAATTAAAATGCCAAAAGTGTGCCTCTACTAGAGCAGGATGTTCTGACACCCTGAAGTATCAGAGAGCGAATAGTTCCTCATCTCTTCAGGCATGCCGGTCGTGACCTGTATAAAAACCTTGATACAATGAAAATTGACACAATGCAGCTTTTAAAGTAGGAATCAAAAGGGAGATGTTTGGAATAGCTTTAATAAGCAGTTATTTTTGAAAGATGTAGAAGAAACACCAGCACATGTTAAGCAAGCTGGAGCATCATACAAACACACACACACCTCCCACACACAAGAGCAGAAATAACAGTACTTCAGCATTTAAACTAACAAATCAAAAACACAAATGGTGAAGCCCTCCACCTCCGCAGCCCCCAGATATTTTTGAAAGCATCAGTTTTCTTTCTCAAGCGGTCACATATGAACCAAACCCTGAGGCACTCTGAGATTGTTCTCCATAAACAAAGCCATCCGCTGCACATCAGGTGTCCCAGGACGTCTCATTTCACTCCTGCAGGTCAGTCAAATAGCCAAATGGAAAATTTAACTAGAGGCTGTGGTACATCTTCAACTTCTTTTTCATTTTCACTCTCCAGCTTAAGACAAATAATATGAAACAGTCAGTGTAAACAACATAGTGGCATTCACATCAAAAGCACAGGATGTGCAAAGCCTATTTCTGTGCCAAAAAACTCAATTTGTAACCATGGCATCATCTTGTGTAATTCACCAGACAATTTAGGAAAAGGTAGCTGGTGCTCTCCTCTAAACCTTGCAGAACTGTGGTTCTTTGTCCCAATGATGACTCTTCCCCTGACATCCTGAAATATCTCACAGGAGAGAAATCAACAACATTCATTCCTTAAGAAAAAGAGATTGTTGTGGTATTGATCTGCCAAATGGTAGGGTGCACTAAAACAATTTGATGACATAACAAAGCT